CAAACCGTCATTCAACTAGTAAATGGATAAGCAAACTGTGGTATACCCATACAGCAAGATATTACTCAGAAGTAAAATAGAACAACCCACTGATACAAACAATATAAATTTATATTGCATCAAGCTAAGTAAAAGAAACCATACTCAAAAGGTTACATACTGCATGATTCCATTTATGTGACATTCTGGAAAAAGCAAAACTATAGGGACAGAGGAGATGAGCAGCTGCCAGGGGTTGGAATGGGAGGAGAGGAAACCTACAAAGAGGTAGCATGAAGGAATCATTTGAGGGTGATGGGACTCTTATGTATCTTGATTATGGTGGAGGTTATATGATTCTATGGGTTGGTTAAACTCATAGAATTGTACATTTAAAAGGGTAAATTTTAATGTGTGTAATTATTATTCAATAAAGCTGACCACCCCCTTCCCCAAACCATTATTCAGAAAAAAATATTCTTCAAGAGATTTAAATTCATAGTCAGAGTTGAAAGATGTTGGCACAAACAAATTTGAATCTAGGTTTGAAATTTGAAAACAGAATCTAGGTTCTGTTATTTAAGTTTCAATTTCTTTATATGTAAAACTCGAGATAATAAAACCTACCTTGAAGAGACATGAGTTTTAAGTGTGATAATATATGGTGAGTGCCTATTACAGGGTTTAGCACACAATAGAAATAAATACTTATTTAGTGTTACATGTCAGGCACTGTACCAGGCACTTTACAGGCATCTCATTTAGTCCTCACAAGTCTGAAGCAGGTATTATTCTCCATTTTCAAAGTGGAGAAACTGAGGCTCAGAGAAGTTCTGGAACTCGCTCAAGTTTTCACAGGTAGTCAGTGGCTGAGCCAGGTCCCAAGTCTAAAATTAACATGACTAATTACCGTGCCACTTATGAAATCTTAATTTAAAACATCCCACTCTACAATGTCACTTCTATCCTCTAGCCCACTTCTTTGATTTTTAATTTCAGTGATTTTTTGAACTCATTGAGAGCACCAACTTCCACTGACCTTACCACTTCTGAATCACCTCTACCCTCATGTTCTCAGAGAGAGAGAGAGAACTGGTTATGTTTGGAATATGTTGAATTAAGTGTGTCTGGAACATTCAGATGGAAATGTTTGGTAGGCAGTGTGAAGCTTGGAGGACATGTATATGGCCGAGACATGAATTGATATAAGCATGGGGGTACTGATGATGGTTGAAACCATGAGACAGGACATAATCATCTTGGAGGGAGCATAGAGTGGGAAACACTAACATTTGGAGAACAAATAGAGAAAGGGAAGTCATGAAGGAGAAAGGGAAGAAATGATCAGAGAGGTTTAAGAACTTCATATTTTCACACAAAGTCAAGAGAATATTAAATGTCTTGAGATAGATGGCATGACATTGTCAAATACAGCAGAGTTCCAATAAGATAAATGCAGAAAAATATCAATAAGACTTGGCAAAGGGCATACCATTGGTGACCTCAAGTTTTGTTTCATTTCGTAGTGGGGGAAGATGCCAGAAAGCAGTAGGTTGAGGGATGAATCAGAGGTCAGAGCCACCAATGAGCATTCTTGAGGGGTGAATAATTAGGAGAGGAGGAAGATTGGAAGTTGCTAGAGGAGAATGTGGTCCTAAGAAGAATTATATTTTAGGATGAGAGAGACATGACCTGGAAAAGAAGCCAGTTGAAGAGAGGCTGAAGACACAATTGGAGAGGGGGATTATTGAGAGTGTAAAAGGATAAGGTTAAGGGCTCAAAGAACTGAGTGACTTGAAAGTGAGGACATTCTACCCTCTGAAAGTGGAGGAAAGGTGGCATGTGTGGGTGACAGTTTTGGGACATATTTGGTGGTATAATATTTAAGGAGCTCATGGCAGGTATCTGGAAGGAATCAAGGTTGTCTGCTCTAAGTGAAGAGATATAAAATGAGCAGGGCTAATTGAGAACAATGAAAGTGTAGAAGACCATTGAGAAGATTTGACAAAGGGCAAGTGAAAGAACTTGTGGACCTAGCAAAGGGATGCTGGAGACCTTAACTTTGTGGTATGCTCCTATGTGAGACTGAACAACCTTTCCCAAGAGCTCATTCACCCAGGTGCAGACTTGAGAAAGCAGATTCTGGGATAGATTTCACTGGGTCATTTCAGAGGGTGGATGATGGACAGGGAGTCAAAGGGGTTTAGGAGCAAGCCCAGTAAGGGAATGAGCTATAAGAAAGTGGGGTTTTCATTTAAGGTTCTTGAGGCAAAACCATTTTAGGTGATGACAATACCAGGGTGTATCCCCAAGAGTGGTGGCTTGTGTGGCACCAGTAGAGATGAGGGCCATGGGCATGACAGCCCATTTATGGCTAGGTTGTGGTGGTGGATGGGTTTATCTGCCTGGCTATTCCAGTTGCCTGGGATTATGGCAGAAGCTGGGCTGGAGAGGAAGACTGTGAGGAGTGACTGGGAGGCGAGGAGATCAGAATAAGTAAGCATTGTGGGGTGGGGGCATGAGCCTCAGGAAGATGAGCTTCATGGATGTTTGTCACTGGCAGGCATTTTGCCAAGATCTTTGCATGTATTTTCACATTTACTCTTCATAACAACACCACCAGTTAGGCTCTATTATTATCCCTCTTTTGCAGATGAGTAAAACAAAACAGAACTTTGAGAAGTTTGGTAACTTTCTGAAGACCACACAGCAAAGCAGTGCTGGAGCTTTATGTGATGGAGGAAGAACAGGGATCTGGGAGGGGCAGTGGAGGCAGATTCCCCTGACCTTGTGAGTGGGTAAGGAGTGTGGGAATGGCATCCTCCCCAGATTGGGTGGCAGGGCAATGGTGTCCTCAGGGTCCAACCAGCTTTATTTCCAGCTAGAAGGAGAAAAGGATCACATGATATGATTATTGTGATACAGAGTAGCTGTCAAGGGAGAGGCAATATGGGCTGATGATATGGGAGTGGAAAGAAGACAGTGGAGGGGGACTTTCTTTGTTTAGCGACAAAGGATAATAGAGTGAGAGGCCTGGCTGAAGAAGCCTGCTATAAATATGTTAACTTTGGCACAAGTTGTTTTGGTCCTGGCCCTGGCTGGGGCTCTAGGAGGATTCTGGCTAGCCTCAGCAGGGAAATGAATCACACCTTGTAGAGAAATGTTATGAATGTGGCCATATCTGGAGAAGGGGTGTGTCCCTGATTGGGGGAGAAGCAGGCTTTTCTTTTGGTGCACCTGTTACTGGGCAGCAGTACCAGAGCCTTCGGTGGAGCTAAAGCCCAACTACCTAAAAACAAGCAAACTCTGGTTTGTAGCATTTGCTGGGTTCTATGGTATGAATACTCCCACCATAGCTGACTTCAAGTTAACCACATGACCTCACTAAATGCAAAGTTGGAAGCAGGCGCAGAATCAGGGTTCTTGGTGTGGTGCACTACAGCATGGACCAGTCCAATCTTAGACCCACCTGAGCAGCAGAAGTATCTAGGTTATGCAGCACCCACGAACACTGTGATGGGGGCAGGCTCCCAGTGTGACTGAGCCTTGTCCTGGTTTCTGAAAGTAGTGTGGCATCATGAAGAATAAGATGTGGGTGACTCATTCATGGAATCATCGTGATTTGGGGGACTGGGCCCCAGTAGGATGGATCTGGAGGAGACCATGCAGCCCGTATGAACTGAGCAGGACTCTTAGCCATTTACTCTGTGCCGTCTGTAGACCCTCGGGTTACAGGTCTGCCTTTGGTCCTACCATGGCTAGTCTGTTCTAGACAGTGACACTTTCAGATCTATAAATTTATGGTAAAAATCTGATGCCTTCTCCCAAATAATTTCCTTGCCAAGTAAGTTTGAAAATGATTGCCATCAAGTTAATAGAACTTTAATCATCCATGAAATTCATCTAGGCGAATAATTTATTTTCATCTATAAGGAAAAAATATCCTTTGTTCTGCAGGAACCTTAATTATTAAAATATTCATGCATATTAGAGAATGACTTTAGAAAAGGAGATAGTGGTAAAACTAGCAGGAAAGTAAGCCATGACTAAAGATAGATAAAATCAGTCTGGAAATATTCCCCTCATCAAATTGAAAGGGTGTCAAATACAAACCAGCGTGTTTTCTGGTTGCATGTGTCTAGTCCGTGCACCCCATGTGCACAGGCCACATCGTCTGGATTTACAATATGAAGGCAGACTTTCTTGCAATGGCATGTGTTAGCACGCAGACCTCCCAAAGTAAGTTTGCATCCCTAAGTGTCATGAAACATTTGAAAAGACCATGGCATTCACCCCTTCGCAGGTTGAACCACATGATCTACCTCATGCTTTTGCATTATAACCATCAAGAGGCAGAACATTTTCCTTTTCCTTCTCATTCAAGTTGTCCATCGACCTATCCCTGGCATTCTGGGAAATTACTGTATGGATCACAGCTCAAGAGAAGAGGAGGGAGAGGAAATGGGACAGCCATTTCACAGATGATAAATGCTAGGTCCTGGTACCTCATTAAAAAGGAGATAATGAGTTTTATGATTCTTTCTCCAGGAAAGAGAAGGTGCTAGTTGTGCTACCTCTGGAGATCATCAGTCTGTGTGGCAGATGGTGCTTCGTGGGTCTCACAATGGCTTTGCATTTCTAGCTTGGTTTCCTCCTGCTGCGGAATCGCAGTACCAGTTTGAGGCTCATCAAATCCCAATCATATCAGATTTATTGACTTATTTTGCTACTCTTCCTAGCCTTTATTTATTATTTATATCCAAGCTATATTCTCCATCCCCTCATATAAAAGAATTGACCTTTCAATGGAAGGGAAAGTTAAAATAAAAATGGAACCATTAAGACATGATAGGGAACAGGAAGTTGGGAGATAGCTAGGCACCAGAACAATTATTTGCAGCAAGAAGCCAATGAAAAGGGTAGCTACTATAGTTCAGCCAAAACTCTAGAATTGTGGGATGAATGGCAATAGGTCAGCAAGCATGCTTTCCACAGGCCTTTCCCTGCATGGAGGCCCTTACCTGATAATATGGATGCAACAGCTGCAATGATGAAGGACACAATGACACCAGGTCCTGCCATTTCCTTGGCCACCAGGCCAGATACCACGTACATCCCAGTGCCCACACAGCTGCCAACGCCAAGTGAGATGAGGTCCACGGTGGTGAGCACCTGGGCTAGCTTGGTGCCATGTGCTGTGGTGGCCCCTGTTCCCTCCAGCATGGACTCCACTGGTTTGGTGCGCAGGATCCTGGAGTGCATGGCATACCAGGCAGCCCCCCACTGAACCCGCCGGGGGTCCAGGGAGGCCAGGAAACCACTCATCCTGAGTGGTATGGGTTCCGGTGAGGGTCAACTGGTGGAAGAGGGCTATGGAAGCCTTAGTGGCTGCTTCTGGAGCTCATTTAGTGTGCAGGGATATCCCTTTTAGGAGAGGTCCAGAGAGACCCAGAGCAGCCTTCTCCTGGGCATGAATATCTGCAGGAAAAACACAAGAAAAGAGATGAGACTAAGTGGGGAACAAACCATGACTCAGAGGCATGCTGGCAGAACTGGCCTATCCTGTTTACTCATACACAGGAGCATTGCATTTTCCCCTTTGTGTCTCCTCCACTCCTAAATGACAGTTTGTAGTTCGCTCTGTGTTGCATAGTTGTTCAGAAGAGGCTGGTTTGCATCAGCACACTGTCACTTGCTTCTCTGGGACCTGGCCTAAGTTCTTTTACTTTTCTGTACTTTGCTTTCAATTGTACAATGGGGATAAGAAAGTCAGCCTAATGTTTATGTGAAGATTAAATTAGATTATGTCTAAAAAAAGCTTAAGACAATGCCTGGAACATGGAATGTGCGCATCTGTCTGAACTCTAAGAACTTTTTATCTGGCTTGGCCAAGACTTGGTCTGTGATTCTTGGGCATGCCCTCTGGGGACATGACATCCTCATTTTTAACATAAGGATGTAAAATTAGCTCTAGGACTTGCTTTGAAACCTTGCTCTCAAATGAAATAAAAAATGTTTTTCTTTGTTGTACATACCCAAATATATTTTTAATGTTCATATTTTAGCCTAATAACCAGAAAAATACAAATGAATACAAATCAAGACTAGTAAAACCTGTCATAATTATTTTAAAATTTCTTAGCATAATGAATGATGGGCAGAGCTCTAATTTATCCATCCTTATCCATACAGAGGATACATGAATTAAGGTAACCAATAGGTTAATCATTATGAATGAATAGTGCAATTCAAGTTTTCACTTGACCTAGTGAAACATGTTGGCAACCATTTTCTTGCTTTAAAGATTGGGGATGAGAGAGTGCTCCTGGCATTTGGTGGGTGGGCCCCAGAGAGACTACACATACAGGAATATCTCATCAGACATTTTCATAGGTGAAAATTCTGGTTATGATGATCTGAATCTAAAACCTAACTCAGTTTTACATATAAACACATAGGATTGAGGCGTGGTTGTATTAATTCACAATTTCATTGAATTTTTCAGGAACACAACTATAAAATAAATTGAAGGAAGGTTGTAATTTCTTTAGAGGAGTTCCTCTCCATTTTAGAAAACCAGTCCCCCTGTCCCCCGCCCCTCACCCCCTGCCGGGCAATGCCACACGGTACTGCATCTCCCACGCTGCACACGCGCAGCAGTCTACCATTTGGAAATGGCCCATTTGCAGTATTTCTTCATACAGTGCATGCATCTGACAGCTTCATTTGGACATACCTGAGTGTTTATGCACTGAAATGTGTTATCTGGAGGCAGGTTCTCCATGAGTTTTGCTTCAGGACATTAAAAGGAGTGTGGCACTCACTTATTACAAAAGAAAGGTGTCGGATCTGATAGACTTCAGAACTATTGTGTTAGATGACTTCAAAAGTTTTGTCAAGTTAGAAAATTACATGAAGCTACTTTCTTTGGAAGTCAGCAGCATTATAAACTTCTATAAAGGAAAATGTAAGTACAGCTGAATATCGCACTGTGCGGATAAGCCTGGGGCATTTACATCTGTAATAAATACCAGCCCACATAATCTACCAATACTAATGAATACCACTTAGTACTTCATGTAACACTTGTCTGCTTCTAAAGCTTTTGCCAACACAACCTAATTAGGAGAATCATGTGAAATGCGGCAGTTTGGTTCACAGGAGTTGGGGGATGGCCCTACTGCTTAAATTTCCTCCTATCTGACAGTATTGCTCCATGCTGGGTTGCAAATCTTGACAACACCTTGAAATACCAGTCCAGTTCAATACCACTGTATACGCCAGAGTCATTTAAAAGCCTAGAGTGTGAGCAACATTCTTTTTTTTTAAAATATTTCTACATTTGTGAGAAAAGGTGTCACCTGCATACCAAAAGAGCTGCAAGAACGCCTGCTTTGCTTGAGCTCTTGAGGGGAATCTAATGCATTATCTGTTTAATTTCAATTCAGCCAGCCTATATTGAACATCTATTATGCACCAGCCAGGTGTTAGGTTCAGGGGTGCAGAGACGTGGTACCTATTCTCACAGAGCTTCCCATGTAGAATGGGAAGTAAACCAAGTCGCAATGCAAAGCGGGGGCTTTCTTTGTTTTTCTGAAAAGCTTTTTTTCCTATTACAAAAGCATAGCATGACTGTTGCAGAAAAAAATCCAATAATATAAGTGATAACATTCAGTGAGGAAAGACAAGGCATGTAATACAATACACAGGTAGAGAAACAGAACCAGATGGTTTCAGAAAGAGATTAGGGCTATGTTATGGATTGAATTGTGACCCCTCCAATTCATATATTGAAGCTCTAATGAGCAGTACCTTAAAATGTGACCTTATATGGAAGTGGAGTCATTGCAGATGTAATAAGTTAAGATGAGGTCATGCTGGAATAGGGTGGGCACCTAACCAGTATGACTGTCCTTATAAAAAGAGATTTGGACACAGAGCCACACACACAGAGAACAAGGTATGGAGATGAAGGTGAAGGTCAGGGCCATACATCTGCAAGCCGTGGATCACCAGGGGTTCCTGGAAAAGCACCAGAGGTTAGGAGAGAGCCACAGAACAGAGCCTTCCTCACAGACTTGGAAGGAACCAACCGTGCCGACACCTTGGTCTCGGACTTTCAGCCTCCACAACTGTAAGATCATCAATTTCTGTTGAAATCCACCCAATTTGTCATTCTTTCCTATAGCAGCCTTAGCAAATGAATACAGGCTGCAGAGGAAATCAGACAGGGTGATGAAGGGGCAAGGGGTTAGGGTTAGGCTCCTGACCCTCAGGAGCCATAGTGACACTGGTTCCTGAGCGCCAGGTGTCACTCTTCCTGCAGGCGGTCCACAGTGGAAAACAGGAGTGGCTGTTCTGGGAACTGAGTGATAATGACTGGGACAGGGCGAGGAGGAGGATCTGAGGGCTGTGTGACAGCTTTACTTGTGTCCACTCATTTAATGCCTACAACAAAACTGCCTTTACAGATGAGGCAGTGGAGGCTGGGAGAGGCCAGTCGCTCCCTGGAAGTCACGGGCCCATAAAGTCAGAGCCAGCGCGTGGCTCTGGGGCGTCCACTCACAGAGCTCAGTCAGTCCTTACTCCTGGCTCTCCTGCCTGATGTGGGCAGGGTCAGACTGCTGAGGGTCCCTCAAGTCAACAGGAGGGGCTTGAGTTTATGCTACGTACAGTGTGAAGCCACTGGAGGGTTTTATTTTGGAGCGTGACGTGACATGATTTATATTCTTAAAAGCTCATTGAAGCTGCTGTGCAAAGTTAACTGAGCCTGCACAGCCGTCCCCAACCTTTTTGGCACCAGAGACTGGTTTCATGGAAGACAGTTTTTCCATGGGCAGGAGTGGGGTGGTAGGAGGGTGAGGACAGGAGGAGGAAGAGCTCAGGGTAAGTTTTGCTCGCCCGCCGCTCACATCCTGCTGTGTGGCCCCGTTCCTAACAAGCCATGGACCGTACCAGTCTGCAGCTGGAGGTTGGGGCTGGAGATCCCTGAACTGAGGAATCATGCCCAATGATAAGTTGGTCTCAGGACGAAGGTACAAGGTGTGTGAAGTGCGCACCTGCTGCTGAGGGAGGCAGTGGTCTCCATCCTGGCTGCACAGTGGAATTTCCTAGGGGTCTTTCAGAAACACTGGTGCCTGGTCCCTACCCCAGAAACCCCAATTTAACTGAGCTGAGGTGTAACCTAGATACAGGGATTTGTTAGAGCTCCCCAGGTGATTCTAGCAAGACAGGGTTGGGGTCCACTGCCCTACACCACCAGACATGGCTAAAATGCTGGTGTGGAAAGCCAGATATTGCCTGTGATAATGGATTTTATGTGTCAGCCTGACTGGAATTAGGGGTGACAGATAGCTGGTAAAATGTTATCTTTGGGTGTGTGTGTGTGTGAGGGTATCTCTGGGAAAGATTAGTGTTGGAATTGGTAGGCTAAGGAGATGGCCCTCATCGGTATGGGTGGGCGTTGTCCAATCCATTGAGAAGAAAAGGCAGAGGAAGGGTGAATTTGATGATTCTGCCTGAGCTGAGACTCTGTCTTCTCCTCTCCTTGAACACCGGTGTTCCTCATTCCCTTTAAAGTCAGACTGGAGCTTGACCACCGGTCCCTCCCGATTCTCAGGCCTTCAGCCTCAGACTGAGTTACAATGCAACACTGACTTTCCTGGTTCTCCAACTCGCAGACAGCTAATTGTGGGACTTTTTGACCTCTATAACATGGGAGCCAATGTCAATAATAAATCATCTCACATATATCTGCACACATATGTAGCCTATTGACTGTGTTTCTCTGGAGAACCCCGACTAACACATGGCCATTTTCCCCATGGGGCCACAAGTCCGACATATCCGATCTGTTTCTCTTCCCAGGCAGGCAGCTGGGCCTCCCAGCAGCTGTCTCCTGCTGGCAGTGACCATGGATGCTATGCTGTCTGGGGACAGCCTCTGGGATACTCGTCCTGATCAGCCTTCATCAGAAAGTGTCACAGGGACACTGAACCACGAACCAGGCTTGTTAGAGAGGTGGTGGCTTCTCTTTAATAGACAATTAGAAGCCATGGTGAAAAAAACACAGAGACTCGAGTAGCACAAAAGTTAAGGGCAGCGAGGATTCCTTCCTAGCTCTGTTCCCTTTGTACAATTCTCCTCAGTGCTTGCTGTAGTGTTGCAAGCAGGGGCTTGGGGCATTTCCTGTCTTGGTTGGAAATCCACCGGAGGGGACAAAATGTACAAGAGAAAACATGCTCCTAAGTGACTATTGACAATATCCATATTCATTACCCCCAGATTATGTTACTCAAAGATAGTTTTGGAAGCTCATTGCTGTTGTCTTTCCAAGATGAGCAATAAATGTGTGTTGTGCTTTCTCCAGCACTTTAATTCGAGTGTCTCAAAATACTTCACAGCTTTAACTAAGGAAGGCTTACAGGACCTCTGGGAGAAGACAGTCATCATTGTGGTGTTTGCTGGGGTGCTGGAGG